TGCCAGCGGAGAGCACTGGAACAGGCGCTCCAAAGCGGTGGCCTTCTCAATGGGACACAGCCCCCAGCAGCTGGACCTTACTCAGAAGCAAGTCTGATTGAGAGCAGAAAGCTGAAGTAAAGACTTAGAGAGTCTGGCCCCTACATTTTACTGTTGAATGGACACCGTTCCTAGGATTACCTTTATCCTGCAGTGCCCAAACTTTCCACAAGCTGGTGAGAACACCATCTCAAGACCTTCAGCTTGCAACTGTAGCTGCCTTGGCTTCTTTTACATATGGCTGTGTCCTCAACCAAAGCAGCGTGGCTCCAAGATAGACCTTGTGCCTGGTTTATTCCATGGCCTGGGAAGAGGTGCTATAAATGAGAATAGCCTCAAAACCACAGCCACCAATGGTTACATAAAGAAGCCTCATCTCCTGGATAAACAGATCTAAGAAACTTAAAAGCAAATGCCTTATAGTGATGACAAAAGCCAGACTTCAGTTACGCTGCCTTGTGCCACAGAACACAACCCTCCTTCAAGGTTCCAGCCAATTGGAGCTGAAGAAAATTATTTATTAAAACCAAATTTGGTGGTTTGCTCAGCCCAGTGTTTGATATATAGCATGCAAGTGTCTATAAGGGCTTTCTGTAAAGCACTGATTGAGCCATTAAAAGTATCACAGTCCTCAGAAGTTTCTGATTACTTGAAATTACCTAAGAAATCCACCAGGACTTACTTAGCCAATGTGCATGAAGGGCAAAAAATTCTGCTCGACCTCTAAAGGTAAAAATCTGAGCCAGTAAGTGACTATAGCCAGTAATTTCAAGCAGATCTGCAGTTATGTGCATGCCATTCTCCCTAACACTCATGAAGAAAGGGATGCACAAATATACAACTTGGCACATCTCATAGAATTTCTCAGAGGAGCCAAACCCATAAAAAGATAAGATATTCATTATAAACAGTCCAGAGCAGGACAGCTCTCCCACTTCTTTGGAGCAGCCATTCTAAAAGGTAATATCCTCACTGTTAGAAAACTGTGTCTTAATCCAAAAGTGAACTTGTGCAGTACCAGCATTTAGTCTCAGCACCTGAAAAGAGAGCTGCTGTGTGCTTTGTCAGTAAAAATAAAAATAAAATTCTCCACTCTCAAGCCTCTTCTCCAACAAGCAAGCAGCTATCCCCAACAATCTCTCTGCCTTTTCTGTGATAAGCCGATTAAGCTGGCTACCTTTAAGGTTTCCTCTCTGGATTCTGCATCATGCTTATGGCCTCCTTGAACTCTCTACTACTGCCCCACTTTCTTGGCAGTGGGGTTACCAGAGCTTTGCATAATATTTTAGCAGCAGTTTTCACCACTGCACACGTGCAGCTAATGCCATTTCCTCACCCTACTAGATATTCCTCTTGCTACACACGCACAGACCATGTCAAACTTACAAGTAACAGCCCTTCACCGGCAGCTCTCAGTAGTTCACTGGATCACAATCAATAATCTAGCTTCTTCATTATTCACTAACCAAACTTCACCAGCAGGGATCTCAATATTGTCATCTGTAGCATCAATAGAAGTGCTAAAAAGCACTGGGCAAAGAACTAATCCCAAACAGAATCTCACTTCAAAGATACCTGTACGCTGATGTTTTTGCATGGGCAGTGATATTTTGTGATCTGCTGGTAAGTGGTTTTCTATCTATCAACTGTGTTCTACTATCTGAAAAAGACAGACAATAGAGAATCAACTAAAATGCCTGCCCAATATAAAATGCAGATCCATAAATCAGATCAAGAAACAGGAAATTCAACAAAATCTCACTCTGTAAATAAGCCGAGACCAGTTTTATTGCGATCCATTTAGCTGCGCTACTATTATCATGATGAACTTTGCCACTTTTCTGAAGCTAATGTTGCATCATGTTACAGATCTGCATTTAGGAGCCACGAGCTCAAGAACCTAATCCAAAGAACCTTGCACAACCTTTTGGCACCTCAGCCACTCTCCAGGGTGACCGGAGCTATTCTTCCAAAGCACTTTAAAAGAAGTGGACCAACAAAGAGGAAATGAGACACAGTGATGCTACGGTCATGGAAGCCAGAAGGTACATTGTTAGACAGCTGAGCTACTAAAACATTTATCAAAATTGCCAGTATAATTAAAAGTGGAAGACTTAGTGGAAGTTCCCTGGGAAAGGCACGTGAAAAACAGAAGCATTAGCGCTGAAAAGCCAGTCCTTGAGGTGATGGACACAAGGCCAGGCTGCACTACCCACAGGCTTCAAAGCGGAAGCAGAATTAATGGCACCGCCAAGACCCTCACACAGAGCTCGCCTCCACAACTCCTCCTTGCCCTACGTCCCTGACTCACCACAGTGATCAAAGGCCTCTGAACTTGTAGGGCAACTGGTTGTACCACATCCAAGATTGAGAACGGCCAAGAGCTGAAAAGGAAGAATTCAGCAGTGAATGACCCCAAAGCTAAAACAAAGTGAGGCCAGCCCCGCCGCAGGAACGCCCACTCCCAGTACCTGAAGCGGAGCAGGCCGGCCCGGCCGTTGGTGGCAGCCTCCTCCGGGAACAGCAGCAGCGGTGGGTTCCCTCTGTGGGACGAATACACCTTCAGGGAATCTACCAGTTCTGCTCGGCTTCCTGTCACTCCCAGCTCCATGAATCCTCGTGACCAGCAGATGAAGCCAGGGGCACCGTTCAGCGCAGGCTGCAAGGGAAAACAAGAGTAAGGAAGAAATGCCATCCTGCCCTCCCCTCAAGGCCTGCTTTCCCAGATGACAGCGGGAGACAAAGTTCCTGCTTATTAGCAAAAACGCCCCTGAGGGCAGAGGGAGCAAGAGCTAAAAGCACTAGTAGCATGGAACACGTTACTGCCAGGCTTCAGAAACCGCTCTGGCCCCAATTCCCTAGGAATTGGACTCCTGATTTTCAGACTGTACTGTCTGCCTGAGAAACGAATTCCCACCCTGCCCTGGGTGACAACTGTGCTTCTCCCATGTTCTCTCTACTAGTTCCTGATACGCTTGGCAAGAGATACACTACGTCCAGGAGTAACTTTACTCAAAGTAAAGAGCAAATTTACTGCTGTTTTCAGGATATAGGACCAACCAACTCACTCACTCTCAGGAACATTTGGAGCCTGTTGATTCAGGAACTCCACACATAAGGAATTTCACAAGAGTACAGGGAAAATTACACAACCACCAGCCCAGCACAATAACCCGAGCACCCCTGCCCCGCCACACAGCTGCCCTCCACACTCCTCTGCAGCACAGCCGCCTGTCCGCACCCAAAGAAGTGGCACCCACCCTGCTTCTGGCACCACCTATTTGAAAGGCCAGAAAAGGATACAGATGCTAGGATTCACCTGCTCTTTTTCCATAAAATCAATACCCACTGTAACATTTCCTGCTTCTCCTCACCCTGTTTCCATTTTTCATGCAGAGCCTACAGAGTGACACTGAACCACAGAAAAAAAACTCAAGGCGTGTGCAATCCTGGGTTAATAAATAAGAACTGAAGAGGCTCATGGCTACACCTGACTTCTGAATGAGCTCTCTGTGCTCTTCTCCTGAAGAGAGGTGCTTCCGCATGATCTCGCAGGACCTGCCATGACCCAGCTCCCAGTTACTCACCGTATTACATGAGGTCAGAAGGTTGATGACATTGTGATCGAATTGTGTCACGTGGTTGGCAATATACACCCTCACATTGACATCACGAAGCCGGGGATCACTTTGCCGCACAAATAAGCCCAGCACTGAGCACATCACACGAACAATAAACCTGGGGGTGGGAAAGTGCTTTCCTCAAGTCCCACAGTCTGACCCGTCACTGGCTTACACATCCAGCAAACAGAACAGAGACTTGGGAGTTCATGTGACTTACAAAAAGACAGGGGTACAAAATGGAAACTATATGAAAGTTACGAAGGATAGGAATTGCGGGGGGCGGGGGGGGCTGAAGTTGGGGCTAAAGGCTGCCTGCAGAGTTGTAGCTGCAGTATGAAATACGCGGCAGCAAGCCACATTGAATTTCTTAGCAGGCCACCCAGCTGATCTAAGTGTTTCAGATCAATCCTTGAGCACTCAAGAGGCAACTGCCAGCTTTGGTCTTGGCAGGGAAGGCACCTTCGTGGGTCCTAGGGACAAGGAGCCCTGAAAGCACAGCTCCCCATAAACCTCTGCATAAAGCTGGCCTTCACGGCTAAGGACCCCAAACGGGTGAGGGCAGCCCTCCCACTCCATGTTGCCCCACAGCAGTGTCTGTACACAACATCCCCACCCCAGGTAACAGCAGGAGCTCTAAGCCCTGGGGAGAGCTGGGCTCACGCACCGTCGCAGCACGCTGTCAGGCAGGGCACAGCTGACCAGAAAGACATGTACACCAATGAAGAGGCGCAGGACGAGCAGACAGAGCCCCACGGGTGCGTACAGCAGCAGGGCCAGAAGCAGGAACCCATCAGTCGGAAACCTGTAGGACCAAAGAGCAGCATGGACAGCCTAAGCACGGCTGGGACACACGGGGCACGGTCAGACCCACCGCTGCCCCTGCTCTGTATGACCTCCGGCGCCTCCCCAACGAGATACCCAGCCCTTCCCCGTCCTCCCCACCACGAGACACCCGACCTTCCCCACGGAGCTCCCACGGGACACCTCTTTGCCCAGTGGACCCCTAGGGCTTTCCGCCAGAGACCCCCCAGCTTCCTGCGTGGGCCTCTAACGGAACAACCCGGCCCGCACCCCCGCCCCAGAGCCCTCGGGCTCCCCCGCGGCCCCTCAGACCGCCACGACTCTCACCGGTGCGAGTCGAAGAGCCGCTCGGGGCCCGGGGCCGCCGGAGGCTCCATCCCCGCCGCACCCGGTGCCTCAGGGCCGTCCGACATCCGCCGCCATCTTCCCCCGCGGCCGACCCGCCTGGCCCGCGCGGGGCAGCCTGGGAGGGGCGGTGACTTCCCGGCGTGCACCGCGCCACCTCCCGGGCGAGCCCTGGGCGGTCGGCGAGGCGGGGACAGCAGCTGGCGGAGACGGTGCTCTCGCCGCAAACCCTGCCGGCCCTCCCTCACCGGCGGCCACGCTGCAGCTACCCGCACAACTCGCCGAAGGGACTACATCTCCCGGCGCGCCCCGTGGCGGGACTACAGCTTCTGGTAGTAGCCAGCCGCAAGACTACGACTCCCAGCGTTCCCCGCGGCGGGACTCCAGCTCCCAGTGTGCCCCGCGGGCGGGCACCGGAGCAGTATGGCGGCGCTGGCGCGGTGGGCTCGGCTCCCGCTGCGGCCGAGCGCCGCGCGTTGGTGCCGGGCTCTAAGTGGGGCTTCCGAGGCCCCTCCTCCCCCACCGCCGCCGCCTCCCCCCACCTCCGCCAGGGCCCACGTGTTGGCGGCGGCGCTGGGCGCCGGGACGGCGGCGCTGGTACTTCTGTGGGCCCGGGATGGCGAGGGACAGCGGCCCGCTTTGCCCACGCTGCGCGCCGCCGTGCCCGCTCCACCGCCGCCCGCCTCCCCGCCGCCCGCCTCCCCCCGTGCCGCCTTCAACTTCATCGCCGACGTGGTGGAGAAGACGGCGCCCGCCCTGGTCTACGTGGAGATCGTGGGCAGGTACCGGCACCAGGCGGCCCGCAGCGCCCTCCCTCCCCCCGCCCCGGGGAGCCGGGCTTCCCCGCTACCTGACAGGGCAGATTCCCTCTTGCCTCTGTCCCGGTCCTCTCGTCCTGCACTTCAGAAGGGTCTGGCCCCGTCTTCCCTGCAACCCCAGCACCCTCCCCGGCCACACGGCCTTCTCTCTGCCAGCCTCCCTGCCCTGGCCACCTTGTGTCCCAGGCACCCGGGCACAGCACCCGGATAGGGGCCCATTGGTGCTGCGGGATGGACAGATCCATCCCCTCACCCTGCTGTTCGTGCATGCAGCTGGCACGGGGTTGATCTTTGCCACAAGGACACACCACTGCCGCACCGCCACCGTGTCCTCTGGGACTGTTTTGGTAGAGCGTGGCCCCAGGCTGCCTGCGGCACAGAGTTACTCAGTTCCAGGAGCATGACTTTGCATTCAGCTTTGAACTCCATCCTTTGTCTCCAGGCTGTCAAGGCACCTCTGAATAGTAGCTCTGCCCTTCAGCTTGTTGACCGCTCCCTCCAGTGTGGTGTCACCTCTGGGCTTGCTGAGTGCATGCAGTGTTTATTGTACCTTTGCAAGTTGTGTGCAGTCTCCTGATTCTTCCTGCTTGTTCCCCTGTTGCATGTTTGTGTAGACTCTCAAGATGGTGACCTTTCATGGGAAAGTGGAGGAGTCTCCCCCGTGGTGTGGTTGCCCAGACATCCTCACTACCCCCTGCTTCCTTCCAGGCATGCCAGTCTGGGCCATCCAGTCTGCCTGGTCCCTGCCTACCCTCTGCCTGCCCTCCAAGTCCCATCAGAGTCCCTGCCACCCCTCCCTGACCTGTGCCCACCTTGCAGGCATCCCTTTTCGGGCCGTGATGTGCCCATCTCTAATGGCTCGGGTTTCCTGGTGTCTCCGGATGGGCTCATTGTGACCAACGCACATGTGGTGGCAAACCGGCGGCGCGTGCGGGTGAAGCTGGCCAGCGGCGAGCAGTATGACGCTGTGGTGCAGGATGTGGACCAGGTGGCAGACATCGCTACCATCAAGATCAAGCCTAAGGTGTGCATTGCGGTTGTGGAGAACCTCCCTGTGTTCCCTCCCATCTGCTCACTGTCCTCCTTTCTTCCAGCACCCGCTGCCCACCCTGCCCCTTGGACGCTCCTCCGAGGTGCGGCAGGGAGAGTTCGTGGTGGCCATGGGCAGCCCGTTTGCCCTCCAGAACACCATCACCTCTGGCATCGTCAGCTCAGCCCAGCGGGGCAGCCGGGAGCTGGGCCTGACCGCCTCTGACATGGAGTACATCCAGACTGATGCTGCTATCGATGTAAGGAGAACTTGTGGCACGCAGCGGGTTGGCACCTCATCCTGGCTGCGCTCTTTGGGGAGGGGGGAGCTGGGGAAGGGCTGTGGGTGCCGTGAGGTCGGAGGAGCCTAGACACAGAGCACAGGGAGAGGAAGGGATTCCAGCCCATCACCTGGGCGCTGGCTGCATTTCTCAGCCTGTCCCTGTTCCCTGGACTCTGCCTCCCTGCCGCGGGTCCTGCTGTACGAGGATGTCTCTTTCATGGCCTGTTTACTGCTTTCTCCTTTGCTGCAGTTCGGGAACTCCGGGGGCCCCCTTGTCAACTTGGTAAGTTCTCCTGCTTGCTCTCTCACTGGCCGGGGCAGAGATGTGCCATGTGCCCTTTGGTCTGTGCCCCTCGGTGGGAGCAGTTGTGGGTGCTGCCAGGAGGGAGGGACTGTGCGTGCTCCAGGCTCCTTCTGAGGAGGAGCAGGGGATCAGCCCGGTGTGGGAGCCCTATGCATCGTCTGTTTTGGGGAGCCTGAGCCAATAGGACTCTGGTGTGCCTGGTGAGGCCAGCGTGGCTGATGCTGGCAGGGCAGAGAGAGGGCCTGTGTGGGCTGCAGCCCATGGGGATGGTCCCTAGCCAACCTCAGCAGGGCTGGACAGGCTGCAGAAGCAGCAGGCTGGGAAGGGATGGGGGCACAGGCTTGCACAGGCATTCCCCTCCTTTCCACAACGCTGCAGGCTGGATAGCACAGTGCCGTTTCCCCTGCAGGATGGCGAAGTGATTGGGGTGAACACTATGAAGGTGACATCAGGCATCTCTTTTGCCATCCCCTCAGACCGACTGCGGAAGTTCCTGCAAAAGGAGGAGCAGCGCAAAAGTGAGTTGGGTGCCTCTCTGCTCGAGTGTTGGGGGAATGAGGCCAGAGGGAGGAGGATGAAAGAGGGAAGCTCTTGTACAGCCAGGCTCTGGGCCCTTCTGAGAGAAGGGCAAGCAGAGCAGGAGACAGAGTCTTTGGGGGTAAGAAGGTTCTCACATCTGGCATGAAACTCCCCTCAGCCATGGGAAAGCTGTTCTGCTACTTCCCTGCCCACGGGGGCCTAAGAAACTGCAAGGAGGATGCTGGCCTGTGTCTTCTGTGGATAAAGACTTAAAGTGTCCCAAGTAGCTTGCATTTAAGTCCCCAGGGGTAGGTGAGGATATTATTTTTTTTTTTTCTGTCCATTGCTACTTTTCATTAGATCTCAATATCAAAATCAGGAAAATCAGTGGACCGTTTGTTGATGTTCAAAGGGAAAGGATGATGTGGAAATTGAGGGCCACTTAGCCTTGTGTGTACTAATGGAAATGCAGGTGCATGGTGTAGCTGTATCATAAAGGGCAGGTAGTTAATTTAGTCTTGTAGAACACTACCTGGTTTTGTTCCTTTGTGTGTGGTAATTTATTTAATACAGACTCTTGCTATCTGGTTCTCATGTTGGCACTGTGGAGTGATACTCTCAGTCAAAAAAGTGGCAACTCAGTCCAGGAAAGTAATGTAGCTGATAGCTATAAAGCTCTGACTGGTCAATGGAACTTAAATTTGCTAGGGAATCAGAATGACTCTCTCTGCCTTGAGGTGTGTGGGCTTTGTGACTCGGTTGGCTCAGCCAGGCCTTATTTTGAATGTGTGTCTGTTTTCAGCCTTGTCATTTGATGTCCTTTCCTTTGACAGGCTCCTGGTTTGGCAATACAGAGACAAAGCGCCGTTACATAGGGGTGATGATGCTGACTCTCACGCCAAGGTACGTGTTCTAAGGTCAGGGGCTGGTCTTGGAGTGTGGTGGTTGCGTGACAGGGTCTTCCAAACTAATTGCAAGTGCCTGGTTTGGGGAGGATTGTCTTCAGAGCTTAAGCATTCACTCTCAAGTCTCTCTGTGCTTGTGTTGTGTTTAGACTCTGGGCTGTGTCAGAGGTAAATTAGAAGTTTCTACACTTGTGGCAGAATCTGCAAGCCCCTAAAAAGTCGCTGAACCTACCTATAATTGTCACTGAGGAGAATTTGATAAAGATCCCTTGCAGCACAGCGTGAATGAAGAGTCACCAGAAACATTGTGTAATCAATAGATAGGCAATGTACCAAGTGAAAGTTGTGGTGAAATGGTTGGGCAAGTTGCGTTGTCTGGGAGGGGGGATCTGCCAGGTGAATTGCTGTGGTGCAGAAACAGTTCTAGAGTATGGGGCTTTCAGAATAAGGAACAGCAAGCTTCCCTGCAGTAGTGTCGACTGAGGAAGGAGGTGATAGGTAGGAGAGCAGGCTGTATTGGCACACACAGGGTGGCTGCCACCCAAAGGGGGGTGCGAGGCTCCTGGGTTTCAGGAGGAAGGGTTGGTGGTGCCTCTGGAGAGAAGTCATCACAGTGCTGGACAGCCCTGGTCACACCTGCAGTGAGCTCTGCTCTGGGCTGCAAGCCTTGGGAGGGAATTGCTGCAGGAGTTATACCTACCAGTAGCCTCCTGGAGGCAGCAAGTGCACGCGTTAGGAATGTGCTGGACCTGCACTCTCACCTCTGAGAGCAGCCCTCCTTTTCAAGGACAGAGTGTCTGCTCTGGTTCATTGGCTCTTACAGCCCTCTTTCAAGAGACTTTTAACTGACTCTTGGGGCTCGGTGTGCTGGTGAGGTTCGTTGTAGTGTGCTTGGCAAAAACACTTTCAGGGCCCTGCTCTGCCCTTGCTAAAGCTCTCGTGGCTGTTGGTGGGTTTGCAGGCTGTCTGCACCTCTGGGCACCAAGAGCAGTCTGTGGGGTTCCTGCCTGGGACACAAACGGAGGAGCTCTGTGTCTCCTGAGATTTGGGGCAGTGGGAATGGTGGGGGAACGCTGTCAGCATTGCTGGCATGGCCGGTAGCTGCCCAGATGCCCAGTAGATGGTGCTGGTACTCGGCAAAACCTGTGGGAGGTGGGAGCCCAACCTCCTCCTCCTCCGGCTTCACTGGACAGCCGTGCAGGAAGAAGTTCGTCAGGGAAGAAGCATGAAATGCTTCAGACTTGGCTCCTAGGAAGTGGTTCCAGCTTCAGCACAGCCAGCAAACAGCCTGGCAGCTGGTCCTTGGAAACCATCTGACTGCAAGTCTTGTTTGCGCACAGTTGCTGGGAAGATCTCCCAACAAGGGGTTGTTCGCCTTGGAATCGGGTGATTACACTGTCTGAACACGCTCATTGGAAAGGCCAGAAACTTGCCCTAGCACAGGAAGAAGGAGAAGCTCCAGGTTGGGTACCAGCTTCTCAGTGTCCTAGTCCTGCTGCACAGATTGCCCAGCAGGCAGGAGCTTCCTGAGACACTAGGCCTTTGCCCTGCTGCCCTAAGGGAATGGAGGTGTGCCAGTGACTTTGAGCTCAGCTGTGGTGGAGCTTGTAGATACCCTCGCCTTGGCCACAAAAAGCCAAGGGAAGAGACAGGGCCCTGACTAGCACAGCCCTCTGCAGTCATCTTACAGCGTGGAGTAAGTAGGGACTGAGCAAAAGACACAGCCAGGACAGTTGACCTCAACTGACCATGCTGCATGACATCATTCTCAGCAATAAAACTGGGGGTTGGAGGTTTTCCAAGGTAGCCATTGCTCGGGGATTGGCTGGGCAACAGTCAGCTGGTGGGAGGTGGTCAGTGAGTGCCTTTACATCACTTGCCTTTTTTTTTTCTCCTTTTTTTTTCCTTTTATTTTCTTTCTTCCTTCGCCTGTTAAAATATCTTTTATCTAGACCCACAAGCTTTCTTGGTTTTGCTCTTCCAGTTCTCTCCTCTGTCCTGCTGGAGGAGTGACCAAGCAACTGAGTAGGGACTTACTTGCCAGCTGGGGCCAATAACGCACTACCACCAGGTGCAGCCACTCTTAGTGCTGTGTAGCCTAAAATCACAAAAGCACTCATTTACTGTGTTTGTAGACACCTGCTTAAGGGCATGCATTGTTCAGCTTTTGTGACTGAGGTGAAGAAGCAGAGTTGACATCGTAAGCATGCAGACCACATCAGATGGGTAGTTCTGTCAGTAGAGCCCAGAGACAGGACTAGAGGCAATGGGCAAGAACTGAAACACGTGAGATTCCATCTGAATGCAAGAAATCTCTTTTTCACTCTGAGGAGGGTGGTCAAAGCCTGGCATAGGTTGCCTGGAGGGGTTGGAGAGTCTCCAGCCTTGGAGATACTCAAAACCTGACTGGACACAGTCCTTGGGCAACCTGCTCTGACCAAGCCTGCTTGAGCAGGGAGGTTGGGATAGATGATTTCAAGAGGTCTCTTCTGACCTCAACCATGCTGTGATCCTGGGAAATCAAGGGATGGCAGTTTACAAAGGTCTGTAAAAACAGTAGAGTTGAGTTCAACAGCGACCAGTGTGAAGTAGGGAGCCATAACTGGCTTAATAGGTACCTGAGGAGGAGCAAGGAGCTGGGCATAGTGACTGTGGGAATTTCTGGGGCTGCAGTGGATCAGAGCTGCTGCACAGTGTTTGAGGGAAGAAAGCTGTTTACACGATGCACGGTCCCTCCTCTCTGGTGAGATCCATCTGGAGCACTGTGTCCAGTTCTGGATGCTTTCAGGAGGGGTGAGGAGCAGTTGGGGAGAGTCCAAAGAGGAGCAGTGAGAGATGCAGAATTTGAGCTAGGTTTAGAAAACCTAATCTGTAGGAAGATTGGAGGAACTGGGATTGTTCAGTCAATAGAATCCAGAGGAGAGATGTGGGTATATCTCTGGCAAAAAAGAGGGGTCACAGCTTTTGTTCTGTGTCCTACTTGCCAAAGGCAAAGAAATGGAACTGCACCAGGGGACGGATAAACCTGATACAAGGAAGGGTGGTGTGATGTGGGACTGCTCAGACAGGAGATGGACATGCATCACCAGCAGGTGGGATCCAGCTGGCAGCTGCTCTGGTAGTTTCCAGCTCTCCCTGTCCTCTAGTTTTTGACAGTAAGATGATGGTGTTTGGGTGCCCCTGGGGTTTGCAGCTGGTCTCTTGTGCTTAGCATTGTGCAGGGATGCAGGAGGAGAGATTCTGTGCTATGGTCTCCAAGTCTCTGTGGCCATGGTTGGGTGGAAGCCCTGCTCTGCCTCCCAGCTCCTTCCCATGATGATGATTTTTCACTCTGCAGCATCCTGGCTGAGCTGAAGCTGCGTGACCCCAGCTTCCCCGATGTCTCCTATGGAGTGCTAATCCACAAGGTGATCATTGGCTCCCCGGCCCATCAGTAAGTGCCGTCCTGTGCCTTGGGGGGTGGCATGGGAGGTCAACTACACAGGATGGGGTGCATTTAGCTCTGAGAGTTTTGCTCCAGAGCAGCAGGGCTTGGGCCCCGCAGCTGTCGGTGTGCAGCAGAAACCGACTTGGTCACCCTTGCCCACGCATGGAGTCCTGTTGACCAAGAAAGCCTGTTTGGCTGGAGGGACACCTGGTACAGTGTCTCCTTCCTTCTGGGAAGACAAAGCCAAGTGTCTGCTTCACCTGCTGTATGTTCCTGTCATCGTTCTCCCCACAGGGCAGGACTGAAGGCAGGTGACGTCGTGCTGGAGATCAACGGGCAGGCATCGCGCCGTGCAGAGGATGTGTACGAGGCCGTGCGGACGCAGCAGAGCCTGGCCTTGCTGGTGCGACGTGGGTACGACACTTTGCTGGTGAGCGTCGTCCCTGAGGTCACGGAGTAGCAGTGCTGTTGCGCAGGCTGCTGCGGGCACCGGCTGGCCGTGCTGGCCGAGAGCCCAGGACACTGGACTGAGCAGTGACTGTGGCGGTCAGGGAGAGACTAAGACCTTGTGAGGGACTGGAAGGGGTCAGGCAGAGGGGCCCGGCCTGGTGCTTGGGTGGACTCATGGTGCAACTGCTCCTCTCTGTACTCCAATAAAGCACTTTTTTAGGGATCCCCAGTGCTGTGTGGCCTCCTTCCCACAGCAGTGGCAATGGCCATGAGGAGGCTGTGCTGTGTGAGACACTGCCCACCCTCTCAGTCCTTGTATGAGTCTTTGCAGCTGGGGAGGAGGACACTGGCTGTGCCTCTAGGGATCTCCTTGGTGTTAGAGGTGTCCTGCCACCCACTTGGCACCCGCGCAGGCTGTGATCTGACTCCTCCGCCACTGCTTGATGGGCACCCATCAAGCTGTGCCTCATGAGGCCACCTCCTCAGCGAGTAAGAGCGGCCTGGAGCTGCACTGGGGCAGGCTTTGCCAGGCCGGCTCTCCCTGCTTCCCTGGTGTGCCCGCCGAGCTGGTCCTTGGCAGCACTCGCTGCTGTGGCTGTGCCCGAGAGGCCAGAGGGACGTGGCAGATGTCTGCCTCGTCAGATTGCTTCCATGGGGAGCACTGCTCCAAGGTTTGCATCCACTTCTGCACCCATGAAGCAGCTTTCTGGTGAAGGGAGTGTCGATGCTGGACTGTGAGATGGCCGGGACAGCATCTTGCTGGCTGTGATGTTTGGGAAGGCTGAAGGGAGCCTGTGGCTGTCCCTCCCCCAGCCTGGCGTCTGTCCGTGCCGGAGCACTGCTCTCCCACGCATGCAGCCCAGCCCCTGGGGACAGCTGGGGGGCCCTCCCTGTGCTCTGCAGCTGGTGGCTGAGAGCCCAGCCGGCCCTTCTGAGAAGGAGCAGCTCCGGCTGTTCCTCGCCTTCCTGGAAGAGCTCCTGCTCTGCTCCGGCCCCTGCCAGAGGTTTTGGGAGGCAGACGGCTCTGAGACGAGGGCTTCCTTGAGGGGCTGTGTCCGACCCTGCTCCGGCGGGGAAGAATGTGCGTGTCGAGCCAGGCCCCGCTCATGACGGGGCTCCCAAGCCCTCGCCTCTGCTTGTTATTTTTAGGAGATGAAAGAAGCACAGTTCCTTGGGGGTGCTGTGGCAAAGGGCGGCTCCGAGCCGCTGCTCCCCCCCTGCGCTCTTCCCGCCCTGAGAACAGGCCTCCTTTCAGGCAGCCCTGGCCTCACCAGAGGAATTTGCTCCCCCGGCAAGCCCCAGCCGGCTGCTCGCAGGGGAAATAGCTGAGACGCCGGCGGCGTTTCTCGCATAGCTGCTCCGGCAGCGCTGACCGCAGTGATTTCCACTGCCTGGAGCCAGGGCCTGCCCCAGCCCAGCCGCCGGCTGCCCCCCTCTTCCTCCCCAGGCTGTCCCCCAGTGACGTGGAGGTGGCTGCATCCCTCTGCTGCAGATGGGCCCAGAGTGTCTGGCTGAGGTGGGGTGTCCCTGCCTTTGCCCTCCTGTCGTGTCCTTGTTCTGTGCCTCTGGCCCTGGCTCTGCTGGGCTCTGCTCCCTCCACGCCAGCCGAGGCAGCCCATCTCTGCTGCCAGACTGCGATCCTCGTGGGTCACAGCCCCGTGGTGGGATTTCTGCTCGATACCATTTGCATTGCAGCTGGTGTGGGGGAACCAGCACTTCGCCGCATCCCTGCTGTCCACGCTGGCCCTGTCTGTTCCCTCCAGTGCCATGCTGTGGGGATGCCTGAGGCCAGTGCTTGGGCTCCTGCTGGCCCATTCCTCTTGCCCGCACAGGCTTTTCCCAGAAGCTATCTTTCCCTAGCCCAGCACCAGCTGAGGGTGGTGCAGGCAGGTGAGGGGGAACTGGTGCGGGGCTGGTTCTTGCCCAGCCAGGGCTGCGTGGGCAGGGGGTAGCTTCCTTGCTCGCTGTGGGTGTTGGAGGTGGGTGCAGGGGGTGGTGGTGGGGGCAGCTCCCATGCTCTGTGCTGGAGGGTGCCAGGCAACCCTGCCCTGTGCTTCCTGGTCCTGCCAGGCTCCTCGTCCCACCCCAGAGAACAGCCATCAGCCCGTTGGGGAAATAGAACTGACAACTTTATAGATAAAATAAAATTACAACTAAGAGATGGGTGTGGGATCTGCTGCCAGGCAGCTGGAGGCCATGTTGCCAGGGCAGGGGCAGCCACACCATCCCTAGGGGACAAAGGGGCTCCCTGGGGCTCTGCCAGTGTCATGCAGGGGTGTGAGTCCCTGCATGAATGGTGGGTCCTGGGCTCTGCTGGGGCCAGCTGAAGGCAGAGCCCTGGGGAGGGCCATGGGGGTGAGAGGAACCAGGGCAGGATGAGGGAACAGGAGGTGGAGTGCAGCTGGGACGGCACGGACTGGGAGCAGAGGTGGGCACGGTGGGGGGTACAGGACCTCCTGGCCCGTACCCATGTGCCGCAGCCCAGGGGACAGGGGCGCAGAGTCTTCTGGCCAGTGGTTGGGGTCGTGGCCCCAGGCTGGGAGGTGCAGGTGAGCAGTGCCTCCAGCACCAGCTCCCCGAGGTGGGGAAGGGCAGCTGGTGACGGTGAGGGTCCTGGGCAGTCCCCGGCAGGGCACAGTGGCGGCGGTGCCGGGCATGAGGCCTCTCCACTGGTCCCCCAGCAGCTTCCTCCCACCAGTGCGGGGCAAGGGAGGGAGATGCCTGTCTCCCCAGGGGCCTGGGCCCTACGAGATCTGGTTGTTGAGCTGACCTGGGTATTGCTCAAACCGCTTGTTGGCCTCCTCGCTGAGCGCATCACCTGGGCAAGCAGAGGACCAGAGACATCAGGCACTGCTTGTCACCTGTCCCACCAGCACCTCTGCTCCCACCCGAGCTGCCCCAAGACCTCAGACCCTGCCTCCCCACACCAGCCCGGCCACCCTGCCCCAAGCCCCCCTGCTTCCTGCAGCCCCCTCCCAGATCACCCCTGCCAGGACACCCCTACCCTGGTGTCCCCTCGTCCCCACCCCTGTGCCGCGTCCCGGGGCTGTTACCGATGTGGCAGCTGTGCACCCAGATGCGGTGCCCGTCGTACTTGCAGTTGCATTTCATGGCATTGTTGGTGAAGTCACTCTCCGCCACCTCAAAGTTGGGATTGATCACGACCTGTGGGGCACTGTCAGTGAAGGTCGCAGCCCCCTGCCCCACACCCAGCAGTGCTGCAGCCCCGTGCCATGTCAGCTTGGCCTTCCCAGCCTTGGCAGAGCTGCTGCCTGTGGCATGGCCCCCACCACCCCAGCCCTGGCAGGACTGGTCTCCCCAGCTGCAATGGGAACTTCTGGAGGGCTCCGAGGAGCTGGTGGCTGCCGCTGTGTTGGGGTGGCCCTGTCACCGTGCACCATGTGCCCATGTGCAGCAGGAAAGCCCAGGCTGAAGCATGACCAAGCAGTCCCCACACAAGCTCTGTGTGTCTATGGGCAGGACAGGCATTGTCCCACACCAGCATGCACCCCACCAACCCCACCATGCTCCAAACCCACTCAGAGAGCAGGAGAGAGAGGGCCAGGTGGCTGGGGAGCTGGGGCAAAGAGTGGGAGTGGAGGTGGAAGGGATACAAGAGGGATGGGGGGGGTCAGCTCAGCTGCAGCACCTGCAGGATGTAGTTGCCCGGCTTCACGTCAGTGATGTCGATCCACTGGCAGTCGATGTCATGCCGGTACAGGTCCCAGCAGCCCACGGTGATGCCCTGCTCCCCAAAGTTGGCACACTCGTACCGCTTGGCCACATCTGTGGGCAGGAAGAGAGTGTGGCTCGTCCCTGCTGCAGCCCTCTCTGCGCAGCCCCCGTGTCACCCCCTACCCCAGCCTGCGCAATGGCTGGGGACGGGCAGCCCTGCAGTGGGGATATGGGCAGGGATGGTGCCACAAAGCCCCTCGGCACCCACCTTCCTCACACTCGGTGTCCTCCAGGCAGAAGCTGGCTTTGTGTCCCTCCGCCACCTTGGTGCCGTTGGGGGTCAGGATGTCGTAGTGGGTGAAGATGTCCATGCTGTGGTAGTGCCTGCAAGAGGGAGCCCGCAGCGCCCCAGCTGCACCAGTGCCCGGGCACTGGGGAGCTTGGGGGATTTGGGGGGCAGAGGAGAAGCCCCACAGAGCAGACAGGAGACTCGTCCTGTCCTATGGCAGGCCCCCTGCCTGCACCCTCGCTGTTGGGGAAGGTCCCCACAGCCCCTGCTCTGAGGCTGCAGTGCTGTGAAGTTGGGCAGAGCTCAGTCCTGGGAGGGGACATGGCTGTCCCCAAGCCAGATGGCCCAGGCAAGCAGGGGGCTCAGCTTGCAGGGCACGGCCTGCAGCCCCGATTCCTGCCCCCCTAGGGCCCGCAGCCCCAACACTGCTCATCCAGGGACACCCTGAGCCAAAGCAGGCAAAACTGGACACTTGGGCAGCAGAGGGTGCCTCACCTGGCATCACCTGCACCCAGTGTCACCTTCACCCCGCACCACCCTCACCCAGCCCACCCCAGCAGCACCATCACCCTCTCCCCTCCCCTAACTGCCCCAAGGCTGTCCCCCTGCCCATGCCATGCACACACCGGTGGCACTCGTGCCAGACCCAGGAGTGCCGTCCAGCCTTGGGGCGGAAGTCGGCGCGGCCGTTGTTGTGGATCTGGGAGGAGAAGCGGAGCAGGCGGCGGTGGCCGTAGGGCCAGTTGGCCAGGCGGGCCGAGCTGGAGAGGCAGTTCTCCTCGGCGGCGCAGTACAGCATGTGCAGCGGCCGGTCCTCGATGTAGGCCGTCTCCTGCACCAGCGAGGCGTGCAGCAGGAGGTCGGAGGCGGCTGGGGAGCAGGCGGCTGCTCAGGGACAGACGGCTGCCCCGATGCTGGGCGGGCAGCAGGGACGGGGCGAGTGGCCAGCACAGGCAGCCAAGGGAATGCATGCCCTCCCCATGGGCTGGGCACAGGCCAACCCTGCAGCCCCATCATCTGCAAACTCCATCACCCACAGCTCCATTGCTCGTAGCCCCTGACCCTGGAGCACCATTGCCCGCAAACCCCACTGCCTGCAGCCCCCACCACCCACACAGCCCATTGTCCACACACCCCATTGCCCACAGCCCTCATTGCCTGCAGCTCCCACCACCCACACGCCCCATCGCCCACAGCCCCCACCACCGCTCACTCTCGGAGCAGATGACACCCGCGGCAAAGCGTGTGCCCGTGTTCCTGCAGTT